CCGTGCTTGCCCGCGCTTGCCCGTGCTTGCCCGCGCTTGCCCGCGCTTGCCCGTGCTTGCCCGTGCTTGCCCGTGCTTGCCCGTGCTTGCCCGTGCTTGCCCGTGCTTGCCCGTGCTTGCCCGTGCTTGCCCGTGCTTGCCCCTGCTTGCCCCTGCTTGCCCCTGCTTGCCCCTGATTGCCCCTGCTTGCTTCTGCTTGCCCGTGCTTGCCCCTGCTTGCCCGTGCTTGCCCGTGCTTGCCCGTGCTTTCCCGCGCTTGCCCGTGCTTGCCCGTGCTTGCCCGTGCTTGCCCGTGCTGGCCCGTGCTTGCCCGTGCTTGCCCGTGCTTGCCCGTGCTTGCCCGTGCTTGCCCGTGCTTGCCCGTGCTTGCCCGTGCTTGCCCGTGCTTGCCCGTGCTTGCCCGCGCTCGCCCGTGCTTGCCCGCGCTTGCCCGCGCTTGCCCGCGCTTGCCCGTGCTTGCCCGTGCTTGCCCGTGCTTGCCCGTGCTTGCCCGTGCTTGCCCGTGCTTGCCCGTGCTTGCCCGTGCTCGCCCGTGCTCGCCCGTGCTTGCTCGTGCTTGCCCGTGCTTGCCCGCGCTTGCCCGTGCTTGCCCGCGCTTGCCCGCGCTTGCCCGCGCTTGCCCGTGCTTGCCCGTGCTTGCCCGTGCTTGCCCGTGCTTGCCCGTGCTTGCCCGTGCTTGCCCGTGCTTGCCCGTGCTTGCCCGTGCTTGCCCGTGCTTGCCCGTGCTCGCCCGAGCTCGCCCGTGCTTGCCCGTGCTTGCCCGTGCTTGCCCGTGCTTGCCCGTGCTTGCCCGTGCTTGCCGGTGCTTGCTCCGTGCTTGCCCGTGCTTGCCCGTGCTTGCCCGTGCTTGCCCGTGCTTGCCCCTGCTTGCCCGTGCTTGCTCCGTGCTTGCCCGTGCTTGCCCGTGCTTGCCCGTGCTTGCCCGTGCTTGCCCGTGCTTGCCCGTGCTTGCCCGTGCTTGCCCGTGCTTGCCCGTGCTTGCCCGTGCTTGCCCGCGCTTGCCCGCGCTTGCCCGCGCTTGCCCGCGCTTGCCCGCGCTTGCCCGCGCTTGCCCGTGCTTGCCCGTGCTTGCCCGTGCTCGCCCGTGCTCGCCCGTGCTCGCCCGTGCTCGCCCGTGCTTGCCCGTGCTTGCCCGTGCTTGCCCGTGCTTGCCCGTGCTTGCCCGTGCTTGCCCGTGCTTGCCCGTGCTTGCCTGTGCTTGCCCGTGCTTGCCCGTGCTTGCCAGTGCTTGCCCTGCTTGCCCCTGCTTGCCCCTGCTTGCCCCTGCTTGCCCCTGCTTGCCCGTGCTTGCCCGTGCTTTCCCGTGCTTGCCCGTGCTTGCCCGTGCTTGCCCGTGCTTGCCCGTGCTTGCCCGTGCTTGCCCGCACTTGCCCGTGCTTGCCCGCGCTTGCCCGCGCTTGCCCGCGCTTGCCCGCGCTTGCCCGTGCTTGCCCGTGCTTGCCCGTGCTTGCCCGTGCTTGCCCGTGCTTGCCCGTGCTTGCCCGTGCTTGCCCGTGCTTGCCCGTGCTTGCCCGTGCTTGCCCGTGCTTGCCCGTGCTTGCCCGTGCTTGCCCGTGCTTGCCCCTGCTTGCCCCTGCTTGCCCCTGATTGCTTCTGCTTGCCCGTGCTTGCCCCTGCTTGCCCGTGCTTGCCCGTGCTTGCCCGCGCTTGCCCGTGCTTGCCCGTGCTTGCCCGTGCTTGCCCGTGCTGGCCCGTGCTTGCCCGTGCTTGCCCGTGCTTGCCCGTGCTTGCCCGTGCTTGCCCGTGCTTGCCCGTGCTTGCCCGTGCTTGCCCGTGCTTGCCCGTGCTTGCCCGCGCTCGCCCGTGCTTGCCCGCGCTTGCCCGCGCTTGCCCGCGCTTGCCCGTGCTTGCCCGTGCTTGCCCGTGCTTGCCCGTGCTTGCCCGTGCTTGCCCGTGCTCGCCCGTGCTTGCCCGTGCTCGCCCGTGCTCGCCCGTGCTTGCCCGTGCTTGCCCGCGCTTGCCCGTGCTCGCCCGTGCTTGCCCGTGCTCGCCCGTGCTCGCCCGTGCTTGCCCGTGCTTGCCCGCGCTTGCCCGCGCTTGCCCGTGCTTGCCCGCGCTTGCCCGTGCTTGCCCGTGCTTGCCCGTGCTCGCCCGTGCTCGCCCGTGCTTGCCCCTGCTTGCCCGTGCTTGCCCGTGCTTGCCCGTGCTTGCCCGTGCTTGCCCGTGCTTGCCCGTGCTTGCCCGTGCTTGCCCATGCTTGCCCGCGCTCGCCCGTGCTTGCCCGCGCTTGCCCGCGCTTGCCCGCGCTTGCCCGTGCTTGCCCGTGCTTGCCCGTGCTTGCCCGTGCTTGCCCGTGCTTGCCCGTGCTCGCCCGTGCTTGCCCGTGCTTGCCCGTGCTTGCCCGTGCTTGCCCGCGCTTGCCCGCGCTTGCCCGCGCTTGCCCGTGCTTGCCCGTGCTTGCCCGTGCTCGCCCGTGCTCGCCCGTGCTCGCCCGTGCTCGCCCGTGCTCGCCCGTGCTCGCCCGTGCTTGCCCGTGCTTGCCCGTGCTTGCCCGTGCTCGCCCGTGCTTGCCCGTGCTCGCCCGTGCTCGCCCGTGCTTGCCCGTGCTTGCCCGTGCTTGCCCGCGCTTGCCCGTGCTTGCCCGCGCTTGCCCGTGCTTGCCCGCGCTTGCCCGTGCTTGCCCGTGCTTGCCCGTGCTTGCCCGTGCTTGCCCGTGCTTGCCCGTGCTTGCCCGTGCTCGCCCGTGCTCGCCCGTGCTTGCCCGTGCTTGCCCGTGCTTGCCCGTGCTTGCCCGTGCTTGCCGGTGCTTGCTCCGTGCTTGCCCATGGTTGCCCGTGCTTGCCCGTGCTTGCCCGTGCTTGCCCGTGCTTGCTCCGTGCTTGCCCGTGCTTGGCCGTGCTTGCCCGTGCTTGCCCGCGCTTGCCCGCGCTTGCCCGCGCTTGCCCGTGCTTGCCCGTGCTCGCCCGTGCTCGCCCGTGCTCGCCCGTGCTCGCCCGTGCTCGCCCGTGCTCGCCCGTGCTCGCCCGTGCTCGCCCGTGCTCGCCCGTGCTTGCCCGTGCTTGCCCGTGCTTGCCCGTGCTTGCCCGTGCTTGCCCGTGCTTGCCCGTGCTTGCCCGTGCTTGCCCGTGCTTGCCCGTGCTTGCCCGTGCTTGCCCGTGCTTGCCCGTGCTTGCCCGTGCTTGCCCGTGCTTGCCCGTGCTTGCCCGTGCTTGCCCGTGCTTGCCCGTGCTTGCCCCTGCTTGCCCCTGATTGCCTCTGCTTGCTTCTGATTGCCCCTGCTTGCTTCTGCTTGCCCGTGCTTGCCCCTGCTTGCCCGTGCTTGCCCGTGCTTGCCCGCGCTTGCCCGTGCTTGCCCGTGCTTGCCCGTGCTTGCCCGTGCTGGCCCGTGCTTGCCCGTGCTTGCCCGTGCTTGCCCGTGCTTGCCCGTGCTTGCCCGTGCTTGCCCGTGCTTGCCCGTGCTTGCCCGTGCTTGCCCGTGCTTGCCCGTGCTTGCCCGCGCTCGCCCGTGCTTGCCCGCGCTTGCCCGCGCTTGCCCGCGCTTGCCCGTGCTTGCCCGTGCTTGCCCGTGCTTGCCCGTGCTTGCCCGTGCTCGCCCGTGCTTGCCCGTGCTCGCCCGTGCTCGCCCGTGCTTGCCCGTGCTTGCCCGCGCTTGCCCGCGCTTGCCCGTGCTTGCCCGCGCTTGCCCGTGCTTGCCCGCGCTTGCCCGTGCTTGCCCGTGCTTGCCCGTGCTTGCCCGTGCTTGCCCGTGCTTGCCCGTGCTTGCCCGTGCTCGCCCGTGCTCGCCCGTGCTTGCCCGTGCTTGCCCGTGCTTGCCCGTGCTTGCCCGTGCTTGCCGGTGCTTGCTCCGTGCTTGCCCATGGTTGCCCGTGCTTGCCCGTGCTTGCCCGTGCTTGCCCGTGCTTGCCCGTGCTTGCCCGTGCTTGCTCCGTGCTTGCCCGTGCTTGCCCGTGCTTGCCCGTGCTTGCCCGCGCTTGCCCGCGCTTGCCCGCGCTTGCCCGTGCTTGCCCGTGCTTGCCCGTGCTCGCCCGCGCTCGCCCGTGCTCGCCCGTGCTCGCCCGTGCTCGCCCGTGCTCGCCCGTGCTCGCCCGTGCTCGCCCGTGCTCGCCCGTGCTTGCCCGTGCTTGCCCGTGCTTGCCCGTGCTTGCCCATGCTTGCCCATGCTTGCCCGTGCTTGCCGGTGCTTGCCCGTGCTTGCCCGTGCTTGCCCGTGCTTGCCCGTGCTTGCCCGTGCTTGCCCGTGCTTGCCCGTGTGTGCTTGCCCGTGCTTGCCGGTGCTTGCTCCGTGCTTGCCCGTGGTTGCCCGTGCTTGCCCGTGCTTGCCCGTGCTTGCCCGTGTTTGCCCGTGCTTGCTCCGTGCTTGCCCGTGCTTGCCCGTGCTTGCCCGTGCTTGCCCGTGCTTGCCCGTGCTTGCCCGTGCTTGCCCGTGCTTGCCCGTGCTTGCCCGTGCTTGCCCGCGCTTGCCCGCGCTTGCCCGCGCTTGCCCGCGCTTGCCCACGCTTGCCCGCGCTTGCCCGTGCTTGCCCGTGCTCGCCCGTGCTCGCCCGTGCTCGCCCGTGCTCGCCCGTGCTCGCCTGTGCTCGCCCGTGCTTGCCCGTGCTTGCCCGTGCTTGCCCGTGCTTGCCCGTGCTTGCCCGTACTTGCCCGTGCTTGCCCGTGCTTGCCCGTGCTTGCCCGTGCTTGCCCGTGCTTGCCCGTGCTTGCCCGTGCTTGCCCGTGCTTGCCCGTGCTTGCCCCTGCTTGCCCGTGCTTGCCCGTGCTTGCCCGTGCTTTCCCGTGCTTGCCCGTGCTTGCCCGTGCTTGCCCATGCTTGCCCGTGCTTGCCCGTGCTTGCCCGTGCTTGCCCGTGCTTGCCCGTGCGTGCTTGCCCGTGCTTGCCCTCCACCTCCTCACCTCTGGAACATTTCCCGTGCTCTCCACCCCCGCTCCTTCCAGCTTACCCTCTCTCTGTCTCCTCCCGCACAGCACGAGCAGTTCAAGCGGTGGGGGGACTTACCAAGCAAGGTGGCGAGGGCGCATGGCTATGCACCCATCTCCTTCCCCTCACCCCTCTCTCTCCACGCATGGCTATCCACCCATCTCCTTCCCCTCACCCCTCTCTCTTCACGCATGGCTATCCACCCATCTCCTTCCCCTCACCCCTCTCTCTCCACGCATGGCTATCCACCCATCTCCTTCCCCTCACCCCTCTCTCTCCACGCATGGCTATCCACCCATCTCCTTCCCCTCACCCCTCTCTCTCCACGCATGGCTATCCACCCATCTCCTTCCCCTCACCCCTCTCTTCACGCATGGCTATCCACCCATCTCCTTCCCCTCACCCCTCTCTCTCAACGCATGGCTATCCACCCATCTCCTTCCCCTCACCCCTCTCTCTCCACGCATGGCTATCCACCCATCTCCTTCCCCTCACCCCTCTCTCTCCACGCATGGCTATCCACCCATCTCCTTCCCCTCACCCCTCTCTCTCCACGCATGGCTATCCACCCATCTCCTTCCCCTCACCCCTCTCTCTCCACGCATGGCTATCCACCCATCTCCTTCCCCTCACCCCTCTCTCTCCACGCATGGCTATCCACCCATCTCCTTCCCCTCACCCCTCTCTCTCCACGCATGGCTATCCACCCATCTCCTTCCCCTCACCCCTCTCTCTCCACGCATGGCTATCTACCCATCTCCTTCCCCTCACCCCTCTCTCTCCACGCATGGCTATCCACCCATCTCCTTCCCCTCACCCCTCTCTCTCCACGCATGGCTATCCACCCATCTCCTTCCCCTCACCCCTCTCTCTCCACGCATGGCTATCCACCCATCTCCTTCCCCTCACCCCTCTCTCTCCACCCCCTCTCCTTCACTCTCACTCTCTCCTCCGCTCCATCCCTGCACAGCACGAGCAGTTCAACCGGCGGGGGGACTTCCCAGCCAAGGTGGCGGAGGGCGCGTGGCCCTTCTCCTGTGCGCGCGCCAGCCATGCCAACTGCATCGCCCTGCCCTATGGCATCTACAGCCATGGCGCACGCGTGCTCTGTGCTGGGGGGGACGAGGAGCGGGAAGGAGGGGAGGCGGGGGAGGGGGACGAGGTGAATGGGGGCGGGGCTGTGGTGATGGCGCAGCTCCAGGTGGGGGGAGGCAGGCAGGAGGGCAGGTGTGGGGGAGGGGAAGGGGGAGGGCGAGGAGGGTGAGCGTGATGACAAGGGGCGTGGGCAGGGCAACATGGGAGGGGGGTCGGTGCGGCGTGCAGTGCTACTCACAGCCAACGTGTGCTTCATGGAAGGTTCGCACAGTGCTGCTGTTTGGGAAGTGAGACGGATGCACAGCGAGTGTGAATAATTGCGTGAGATGTGATTCTGCAACCTTGGCACTGTGCGCACAGTGCGCCGCAGTAAGCCATAGATCTGCATGCAAGCAGCTAGTCTTGTCCACCACGTGCTCCAATCATCTCACCCCGCTTTGATCTCGCTCTCACCACCCACGTTTGATTGAGTAACTCGCCTGCTTCCCTCTCCCTCCCCTCTCACCCATCTCATCTCCTCTGCCTCCATTGCAACCCTGAACTTTGATTCTTCCCAGACACCCTACATGGTTGAAGGTTTGATGAGACGGACGCCATGACATTGCGGGTCTATCAGGAAATAACCACCAAGTCAATGCCTTTCGAAACTCAAACTTTGTACGAAAATGAGCGGGGAAAATTCCAGTGCCAGATTGTTCCTGCGTTAAGCTCGCATTGAGATTGTGTTACATTAACCCTGAAAATTCTTCGAGCGTTGCTAACTACCTTCGAAATCGGTTTTTTCGAGGGTAGGTACCCAAGGTCGTGAAGATAAAGGGTGTGGAAATATCGGAGAACAGGTGTACTATGCCTTATCGAGTGGTTTCATCCACATTGTCGTATACATACTGTCATTGATGTTGCGTCGAACCTCCCTTTCAGTGCCACACTTCCATATCTTCTTGGGTAAGACATGTGAAGAAATGAGGAATGAATGAACTAGCAAGCAGGTGGGTACAAGTAGGAAAACCTAGAAGTGTTGTACCCCATATTGTCTACCCCACTACAGCCTACACAGACTATAGCATAAGAGTTTGACACACCCCCATAGGCAAATTGGGGGAGAACAAGAGGTCACAAGACCAGTCAAGCAAAGCAAAGCAAAGCTCAGGGTGGATCACAACGTCACCACACAATCCGAGCACAAGAGCAAGGCCACAAGGCCAGTTCACATGCAAGATCATATATAAAGGTAAACAGGCAAGTGCAGGTATAGAAAGATCACAGTACAAGCAAAGTCAAGAAGTGAGCAAGTGAGGCCAAGTAGGCACAAGACTTAGCATAGTGCAGAAGCGCTGATGATCACCAGGCGGAAGTGCCTTGGTAAAGATATCAGCAGTGTTGGCCTCAGAGGCCACGTAAGCAAGGCGCAGCTGACCACGCTGCTGCAGCTCACGAGCAAGGAAGTAGCGGAGAGCAATGTGCTTCGTTCTGTGCTCCAGTCTGTGCTCCCGACACAAGGCCAGCATGGCCTTGTTGTCTACGTACAGAACTGGAGGAGAACGAGGCGGCTCTCCTAGGTCAGTCAGCAGGTAGGTGAGCCAGCGTAGCTCCTGTGCAGCCATGGCCCCCGCGTAGATCTCAGCCTCACAGCTGGAGCCGAGAACAGAAGACGAGCGGGTAGACCGCCACGAAACAGAGCCGGAACCAAGGCTGAAGGTGTAACCCTATGACGACCGCTGCGTAGCCTAGTCGTCAGCCCAAGAAGCGTCTGTGTGACCTCTGAGGACCACTCGACATCGCCCTCTAAGCACTAGCCCCATGCCCGACGTACTGCACAAGTAGCGCAACACCCTCTTCGCTGCAGCCATGTGCTCTGGTCGGTGTCTCCCAGGAGCAACATAGCGTGCCAAGATGCTAAGAGGGTATGCAAGGTCAGGTCGTGTGCAGGTCAACAGGTACATGAGGCAGCCAACAAGCTCTGGGTACGTGCCACTCGACTCTACGGACTCATCCGAAGGCAGAGCTGAGAGCGAGTGACGAGTAGACAGAGGAGTGGCCTGAGGCGAGGAGTACGTGAAGTCGAAGCGCTGAAGGACCTGCTGCACCATGTGTGACTGAGTCAGGGTAATGGTGCGCTGTGCTCTGTCCCGGGTGATCTGCAAGCCAAGGTAGCTGCGCAGTTCACCCAGGTCTGTGCACGTGTGTCTCTTCTGCAGCTCGGACTTCATGTGGGCGAGTCCAGCAGTGTCAGCAGTGGCAAAGACCAAGTCGTCGACGTACACGAGGATGTAGAACGGCGGCAAAGAGGTGTCGGTGCGCAGAAACAGCGACGGGTCGGCAGTAGAAGGAGCAAACCCAAGAGCCGCACGTGTAGTCCTCAGTGTGTCGTGCCACTCACGGGGCGCCTGGCGGAGACCGTAGACTGGCCGCCGGAGGCTCCACTGGGTACCAGGGGGAAACGACCCAGTGAAGCCAGGTGGGCGGCGCAGCCAGATCTCCTCGTGCGGGCTGCCCTGCAGGAAAGCTGTGCTGAAGTCAAGAGAGTGAAGCTCGTAGTCGCGCTGAGCGACTATGTGCAGCAGCACCCGAAGAGTGGTCATCTTCGGAGTGGGAGAGAAGGTCTGAAAGTGGTCAACTCCCTGCCGGTGACTGAAGCCTCGAGCCACGTAACGCGCCTTGAAGACAGGCGGAGAACCCGACGGCCGCTTCACCCTGAAAATCCACATGCCACTGACGATGTTCGCCCCAGGTGGGGGAACCTCGTCAACGTAGGTGCCTGTGGACTTCCAGGAAGCCATCTCTGCGTCCATGGCTGACTGCCACTGAGAGGAGTAGGGACCCTCGATCGCCTCAGCGTACGATCGAGGAGTTGGGATGTCTGGTGCATTCGGGTCTCCCTCAGGGGCAATCAGCGTGGACACGAGATGAGGCAAAGCAGCAGCAAAACACTGGAACTCCTCCTGCCTGTCCTCAAGGACGTCCGTGCTAAGAGCACACTCACCCCCGACGGACGGAGGACAGACAGACTGAGACTCAGCAACGAGACTAGTGGCGTAGTTTAGACGACAGCGAGCAGCGAAGTCGACAAGCTCAGCAACCAAGGCAGACGCAGGAGTGGACTCAAGGGAAGGGTCAGTGTCAACAGTGGCCAGGAGACGCGTGACAGTAAGACTGACAGCACAAAGAGAGTCAAACTCAGGGTCAGCAAGAACAGGAAGAGAGGACTCCAGAGGAGATGGCAACGGGACACGCAGAGGAGCAGTGGAAGGACGCAGTGCCATCCGGTGTGTGCCTGGGACTGAAGGAGGACGCGGACGCGGAGCACGACGAATAGCGCGAGCAGCACGAACAGGCGACGCAGGACGAGACGCAGGCTTACGACGCTCAGCAAGACCTCCAGTAGGGAGAAGGAGCAGGTAGGGGGGAGGCGGGCTGTAACTGTGACTGCGACTGGACAGGCTGCGGACACTCTAAGGGAGGAGCAGGACCAGTAGAGGGCGGGAGACCAAGAACCTGCTCAAGGAGCGGAACGAAGTACGGCCTCGGCCGCGCAGCTCCTCCAGAACCAGCAAGGACAGCACCAGTACCCCCAGCGGCAGCACCAGCGCCAGCAGCACCTCCAGCTCCAACATCGCCAACTCTAGCACCCTCAGACGCACCAGCGCCAGCAGAAACACCAGCGCCAACACCCCCAGCAGCTCCAGCTCCAGCAGCTCCAGTAGCACCAACTCCAGCAGGACCGGCAGCTCTAGTAATGCCAGCAGCTCCAGCAGGACCAACTCCAGCAGCCCCAGCAGCACCCCCAGTCCAACCAGCTCCAGTACGAGCACCTCCGGGACCAGCAGCAACAGTAGTACCTCCAGCTCCAGCAGCACGGCTCCAGCGCTGGCCAAACCACTCGCGCAGCTCCTGTGGAGAGAGTGGCTCCCGCCTCGACGAAGCACCGCCGGCGGCCACACGAGCAGACCCAGCGCCCCCAGGCTCCGCACCCACAGGCTCCGCACCCCCAGGCTCAGCACCCCCTGACTCAGCACCCCCAGGCTCAGCACCTCCAGGCTCAGCACCCCCACGCCCAGCACCCCCAGACTCAGCACCACCAGACCCGGCACCCGCAGGCTCAGCAGCTCTAACAGCACCAAAGTCAACAGCTACCTCGACAGGCTCGACTGCGTCTACCTGGGACACACCTGACGGGGCAGGACCCTGAGGGGGGAGGGGGTCTACCGGGGGAGGACCTGGCGCAAGGAAGAGCGGGGGCGGGGGAAGGGGCGCAGTGCGGTAGGGGAAGAGACGGTAGTAAGGTACCGACTTGTCAAAGGTGACGTCCTGGGAGGACAGAACACGGCGCGAGGTGGGGTGGTAAAACTGCCAACCAGGCGCGTCAGGGGGGAAGCCAAGGAAGACGTAGGGAACAGCATGGGGGGACAGCTTGTCCGCAGACAAGTCGCGGATAAACGCCCGAGATCCCCAGACCCGAAATGCAGACGCATCCCCAACCTTCCCCGTCCACCGCAAGGAGGGGGAGGTCTCTGGCAAGGAGACCCGGGGCTGAAGGTTGAGCTGATGTGCTGCGTACTGAACCGCAAACGGCCACAAAAAATGGGGGGCAGCCGCATGCATCATGGACGTACGAGCGACGTCCATGACCATGCCAATGCGGCGCTCAGCAATCCCATTTTGCTGTGGAGAGGCCGGAAGCGTGAAGGTCTGGCGGATGCCCTGTGCACGACAGAAGGCTCCCAGACGGGCAGAGGAAAACTCCCCGCCTCTGTCAGAGTGCAGACACAGAACACGAAAGTCCGAGCCGAAACTCTCTCTGAGCTGGAAACGAGCTGCGCGGATCCAGTCGATCAACACCTCAGTGACGTCACCCTTGCTGCGCAAGGGGAAGACTGTGGTGTAACACGAGTAGTCGTCAACCACCAACAGGAAGTAACGCTCGTGCCCCTATCCACGGACGCGGGCGGGGCCCCACACGTCCATGTGGAGAGTCTGTAGCCGAGCCTCTGTCGGAGGAAACTCGGTGGAGTGAGGGGCGGCGCGCTGTCGCCCCTCGACGAAGGGGACGCAGGTAGGGCCAGGCCCCGAAGGTAGGGGAGGGAGAGACCGGGGGAGACCAGAGACAAGGACACGGGAGGCCATGCCTCGGAGACGAGGCAGGGAGGGGTGACCAAGGCGGTGGTGCAAAAGGAGAGTCTGGTGGGACAAGAGACGACACGAGCAGGGAGCAGACTCAGGACCAGACTTGGACGCTGCAGCAAACACCTGACTCGACGCAGCTACCTGGCTAGATTCAGCAGCCGGAGTAGACTCAGTAGTAAGGGTGTAAAGGCTCGACCTTGGCCGAGGGGTGAACGTGGCCAAGTGTCGGCCTGTCCGAGCACACGTGAA